CACAGCCTCCCTGGGCAGCCTGTTCCAGTGCTCCGTCACCCTCAGAAGGAAGAAGTTCTTCCTCATGTTCCAACATAGAGAAGTAGCAAGAAACTCCTACAAGTGAAGCTGGCCCACTCCACCCAGCATCTAACTAACACAGCGCAGGCTTTACATTCCCTAAGGGTCAAACAGAAGCTTGAGGTATCGGAGAGAAAGAACAACAACATGAAACCTAAAGTGCAAAATGCTGAGCGCGATGAGAAGAGAGAGAAAACACACCCAGCAACTGTCAAGCAGGAAAGCAGCACTTGTGCAACAGCCCAGGAAGGAACAACAACCACCGAGTTTCAGCAGCAAAGAGTCAGCGAAGCAGAGCGCTTCACATCCCTAAGACGATCGTGCAACGAAACGCGCTGCCGAGACGGCTCGCTCACGGGGCGGAGCTGCTGGGGTGGGGAAGCGGCACCCTGCAAACAGCTGCGCTCCAGACCCCGTAACCAGGGAGCTGCTACACCCAGCCCCACCGCACGGCACGCCTGCAGAAGACACCCATTTTAACATCCTAAGCATAGCCAGGAATGGAGCAGGCGACGAGAAGACAGTGAACTGGTTCTGCAGTGGAAACCACAAGCCAGAGGTGTCCTCCGGCGCTGCACGGCACCACCGAGTCCTGCTCAACGGGGATGCCGTGTCCCGAAGGAGCGTGGCTCGTCTGCCCGCACAAAGGCATCAGGCGTCACTCCAGAGATCCCGAAGCGTCCCAGAAATCTGTTCTGGGCCAGCAGGTCCCACGCCGGACCCACGAATGACCCGTGTCCATCAGGAGGTGGAGGCCGCGGGGCAAGTCCCGAGGCCTCTCCAATGACTTGAGACGCCTTCGTGTGGGCAGCCGAGCCGTGCCCCACATCTGCACCCCCTGCAACGAAAGCACAAACTGTGGAAACCTCAGTACCGACGCTTCCCGACGCTGAGCTGAACCCCACCGCGGGAGGCCTACGGCGCGCACAGATGCCCTCAGCGTCAGGAAACCCCGCGCACGGGAGCGCACGCAACCGTCCACTTCCCTTCCCCTGGCGAGCGCGAACGCCTCCCACTTCTGCAAGAGCTGAGGCCGCTGGCCGCGGGTCGCAGCCCCAGCTGTGAAACCCAGCCAAAAACGGTAACAAAAGGAAGGGTCCTGCAGGGTTGGGCTGAGGGTCCGGCGACCCCGGCACTCTGACTGCAGCAGCGGTCAAAAATGGACGCCGAGGGGAGAACATAAGAGTAAAATCAGCGCACAGTGAGATTTTCCTGAAATAATCTACCTTTTAGGTACAATCCACAATCCATTTTTATCCCTTATCCTTCGGGCAATTTGCAGCTAAGGAATTTCCTCAGTCAGAGGCAATATTTTCATGTCGAATAGCCCTCAGCGGGTCTTCCGTCCAAGGATTTATCCGTCTCCTCTTATCAGCGTGGCCTCCCACCGGGCCAGGCTTGCGACCTTCCTGCAGCTCGGGTTCCCCCCGCCCGCCCTGCTGCCGCCCACCACGCTCCCCTCCTGCGGGCCAGCCCCCGAATTCGGGGCCAGAAGCAGCCCAGGCCATGCCCAGCGTTCCTGCGACGCCCCAGCTCCCCCACGCAGCTTCTGCCCTTTGTGACGAGCCCCAGAGCGCTGGATCACAGAGCAGCACGCTGATTATTTTTTTTTTGGTTGTCTTTCCCAAAACCGAGCCTTCAGCGTGTGTTCTCGAGTCGGGAGAACCGCAGGAGTACGGAAAGTCCTCCATCGCTTCGCGGTCAGGCTTCTCCACACAGATGAATTTCTCCATCTCCGCTTATCTCCGCGAGTAACAGGAAATGAGATTTATTATTTCTTCATCGCTGACCCAGGAAGCTGCGTTCCACAGCACGGGGCTCCAGCGCAGCCTCTGGCTTCGGAAATCCTCCGGCAACGCGTTTCCCCTCCCGATGACAGCCGCCTCCCCGCCGGATTTCTGCCACCGTGACGAACGCGACGAGCCCACAGCGAAGAAGTTACCCGAATGGCACTGGGACCTTCGCGCTTCCCGCCGAGCCACCTCCGCTTTCTCCAGTTTGCAAGGAAGTTTTTTCCCCTTCCGTTACCGGTTGATTTTCTCTCCCTCCCATCACCCAGGGAGTTATTTTCCCCTTCCACCGCCCAGCTCCTCGCAGCCCTCCCCTCTCCCCGCAGAGGACTTTGCACTTCTCCTTGTTGAGCTTCATGAGGTCCCCGTTGGCCCATTTCTCCAGCCTGGTGAGGTCCCTCTGGATGGCAGCTCGACCCTCTGGTGTATCAGCCACTCCTCCCAGTTTGGTGTCACCAGCAAGCTTGCTGAGGGTGCACTCAGCCCCATCTTCCTGGTCATTAATGAAGATGTTGAAGAGGACTGGACCCAGTAAGTTATTCTTAACTGTGGTCTCAAAGGTCCTTGCAAACATTTTTCAATAATTAAACCTGTGTCATTTATTCAGAGAATAAAAAAGCCAATCTGAGGCCCTCTCTGTGGTGGGTCAGGCTGAAGCACAGGGATTTCCAGGTTTTGGCGGCAGAGGTAGGAGGGGAGCTTGGGGAACCTCCTTCCAAGGTCTGGCTGGAGATCACCTGATCCTCTCCACATCTACGCACGGTGGTTTCACAGCCATTGCTGCTGTCAGGGCGTGCTTCGAGAGCCTGCACAATCAGCGTGGGGTGGACTAACATCTCACTGAAGATTACCTCTGTGAAGACGACTGATGCTGGTTCAGGCCATCAGTTTTTAACACCATCCTAACAGTGCTAGCTATTTCTGGATGTCCAGAAGCTCAGGTGGGAGTAGGGTCGGGTTCCCTCCACACGGATACATCGCCGTGTTGCGCTTTGAAAGAGGACGGGACGCTCGCCTGTTGGGCTGAAGGCCCCAGCGACGATCCGAGGGCTGGAGCCCCTCTGCTGGGAGGACAGGCTGGGAGCTGGGGCTGGTCAGCCTGGGGAAGAGAAGGCTGCGGGGAGACCTCAGAGCAGCTGCCAGTGCTACAAGAAAGCTGGGGACAAACTTTTCAGCAGGGCCTGTTGTGACAGGAGAAGGGGTGATGGGTCTAAACTAAAAAAGGGGAGGTTTACGCTGGATGTAAGGAAGGAATTGTTTACCACGAGGGTGGTGAGGCACTGGGACGGGCTGCCCAGAGAGGTGGGAGATGCCCCATCCCTGGAAGCATTCAAGGCCAGATTGGACGGGGCTCTGAGCAACCTGGTCTGGTTGAAGATGTTCCTGCTCACTGCAGGGGGGTTGCCTCTTGAAGGTCCCTTCCAACCCAAAGCATCCTGTGACTCCATGATCTCCACTGCATCAGTGGAAATGAGAAAGATAAAACATTCCAGTAGCAAAACTTTTAATCGCACAATGATTGGTATTTTTAAAGCTTTAAAACATGAAATATTAGCATAAGAAAATATGATAGACAGTTCTGACTGACCGCCTGCCACGTAAACCGCCTGCTCCAGGCTGTACAGAGGCAGAAACGTCGCTGTCAGAGCTGCAAGCACCAGCGGGAAGCAAGCGGCACTGGACAAGCAGCCACACGCCCAGAGATGAGCCAGACAGCCCTGTCCGACCACGACGACTGACCGTCCTCGGTGCCGAGGGGCAGCCGCTCCGGCAGAGCAGCAGGCGAGCCGCGGAGAGGACACAAGATCCGACCCGTCGCCACGGTCGGTGCCAGGACACAGCCTTGGACACCCACGGCCACCTCCTGTCCCTGTCCCCACCGACAAGGCAGATCCAGACCTGTATCGTCCGCTCGGGTCGAGGACATTAACCGTTACCAGGCACCTTCAGCAGCGAAAGCCCCCAGGGAGCGCTTCTCCAGCAGGCAGCCGGACCACCCTCCTCAGACGTCTTTCTTGCGAGAGAAGTAAAAATCTATCCCTCTGCCCTTGCTCTGCGCTGGCGCGGGTGCAGGTCCTCTCCTGCCCCCAGGGTGGGGACGTCTTTCCTGCTGCAAAGGAAAGGTGAGCAGTGAGATACTGCCTGACACCGAAGCGCGAATCTGATCACCAAGCGGCCTCAACATGCACTACTGACCAAAAAAAGGTGCGCGTGCACTTCTAACCCCGCCTCTGCTTATAATGCTCACAAATATCTGCGGGGTGGGTGTCAGGAGGACAGGGCCAGACTCTTTTCAGTGGTGCCCAGTGACAGGACAAGGGGCAATGGGCACAAACTGAAGCACAGGAAGTTCCAGCTGAACATGAGGAAGAACTTCTTCCCTCTGAGGGTGATGGAGCACTGGAACAGGCTGCCCAGGGAGGCTGTGGAGTCTCCTTCTCTAGAGATATTCAAGACCCTCCTGGACGCGGTCCTGTGCAGCCTGCGCCGTCTATGAATATATTCAAGCCCCGCCTGGACAAGGGCCTGTGCAGCCTGCTGTAGGTGACCCTGCTTCGGCAGGGGGGTTGGACTAGATGACCCACAGAGGTCCCTTCCAACCCCGAACATTCTGTGATTCTGTCTGCAAAAAGGCAGTGAGGCCTGGGCAAAGCTCTGGGCTTCGACGCAGGAAACCAGGGTTTCCAGTGAGGTGTGGGCTGGTGTTTTCAAAGGTTATGGGGGGCTGAGGGCAGAGGTTCTTCTCCAGGTGCCAGTAACATCGGGCCAGCAGCCCCTCCCAGGAATATTTCGATTTCATAAGCGCAGCGTGGGCCTGCAGAGCTGGAGAGTTGATCAGAATGGAACTCCTGCCAGACAGAGCAGCTTGTGAGGTTGAAGTTTCATCCCTGCCTCAGACCAGCATCTCGCCGAGGGGCTCCTTCACCGAGCCTGTTCTCTGAGCTCAGGTGCACCCCGAAACAGAAGGGTCATGGCCCAGGCCCTGTGGCAGCGTGGCTGGAAGCAGAAGGCTTTGCTGCCGCACAGCTTCCCACCGATGGGCGAAGGAATCCGGCCTGAGAAATTTGGTACTGCACCATGGGATGAACACCCGCAGTGGGGAGCTGCTTCACACTTCACTGAGCGTCGTACAACTTGAGCCTCCCCAAAGCAGCCTGACGTGGGAGGAGGCAGGGAGGCCGCATGGGGCAGGATAAAATGCTGAAAACCCCCTGAAACACGCAGCTGTTGGTTACCTCCACGTCCTTCTTCCTCTCCAGCCCCAGCGCCATGACCCGGCAATGTGCGCTCGCAGCCCAGAAAGCCAACTGTACCCTGGGCTGCACCAAGAGCAGCGTGGGCAGCAGGGTGAGGGGGGATTCTGCCCCTTTACTCCGCTCTCGTGAGACCCCACCTGGAGTCCTGCGTCCAGCTCTGGAGCCCCCAACATAATAAGGACATGGATGTGTTGGAGAGAGTCCAGAGGAGGGCCACAAAGATGATCAGAGGGCTGGAGCACCTCTCCTACAAGGACAGGCTGAGGGATTTGGGGCTGTTCAGCCTGGAGAAGAGAAGGCTCTGGGGTGACCTTAGAGCAGCCTTCCAGTACCTGAAGGGGCCTACAGGAAGGATGGAGAGGGGCTTTTCACAAGGGTGTGTAGTGATAGGACAAGGGGAATGGCTGTAAACTAAAAGAGGGCAGATTTAGATTAGATATTAGGAAGAAATTCTTCCCCATGAGGGTGGTGAGGCCCTGGCCCAGGTTGCCCAGAGA